TCTGCAGCATCACTGAGCCGTAATCCACTCACTTATCGATTCTCCYAGTTTTGCTACAAAAGCTTTTATCCAGCAGACATGTCCGATTCCCTCAGCATCTTCTAAATATTGTGTTACGAGTCTGAATTCTTTGTCTCAATACAGATGGGATAACAGTGTGACTGAAGTTCAAGGAGTTTACTTGAAGTACAGGGTTCGTACCTTGACCTCAGCTGTGATGGTGGATCMCCCTCTTCATGCTCTGTGTCTCATTAGCGAATCAACAAAGAGCGAGCCTGGAAACTAACTGCAACAAATTACAGGAAGCAAAGATGGCTTTTTTACTTCCAAGGCCTGCGGTTCCCTTTTTAGATTGTGTCTGTCATGTGCCATGAAGGATGTCTCCATCAGATTATCTCAGCAGATGATGCAAGTAGACCACCATGCTTGAAGCAAAACACAGCCTCCGCCTTTTCATGTTATCTGGAATATCAGTCTTTAATGATGCACAAAACTGCAAAGGAAGAATATAGATGAGGAAGATATTGGATGATTATAGGAACGCTGCAATTCTCAACAAAATATATGAGCTGAAGCTCARAGTTTAGGCTCAATTCTAACATATCCTTATGGTTTTCATATTAGGTATTGGAATTTGACCAGTTGTGCATTTGTTTGAACTGATACAACCTAATCTTCTTCAAAAAATGTGCATGATCAAGMTTTTCTCGTTACCTGTGTAAGTGCCTGTGTTTGTGTTTGCCTGTTAAAGGGATCCATGATTAGTTGTAACATTAGACTTTATTTAATAGACATATATTTTAACTGTAAAATAAAGACTGGAAAAATACTGTAGGATGTTCAGTTTTTATCACTTTTAAACTAAAAGTTTATTTACATGCAAAGCATTCTGGGTAAATGATGACATGGATAGGTCCTTAGCACGAGGCTGCTAGCGAGCTATATCCATCCTGAAGGTTAATCTTGGACAATATCTGACAATTGACTCTTTTAAATGAAACCAGAGAGCGTTGACAGAGAGGAGAAGGTAGAAATGACTCAGCCTGTAACTGAAAATATGGATGGAGGACAACAGAGCTGCTTCATGGAAGAAGAACCTCAGCTTAGCTTGTTAGCTTTGGTTCTTCTTCCAWGAAGCAGCTCTGTTGTCCTCCATCCATATTTTCAGTTACAGGCTGAGTCCTTTCTACCTTCTCCTCTCTGTCAWCGCTCTCTGGTTTCATTTAAAAGAGTCGATCATCAGATATTGTCYAAGATTAACCTTCAGGGTGGATATAGCTCGCTCACACCGAGGACCTATCCACGTCATCATTTACCCAGAATGCTTTGTGTGTAAATAAAATGGCTCAATCCGTGTTAAAATATATTTTTAAAAATTTACAAAACTAAACAGACTACAGTATTTTTGCAGTCTTTATTTTACAGTTAAAATATATGTTTATCAAATAAAGTCTAACGTTACAACTAATCAGGGATCCCTTTAAGTAGCTGCACAAATTTAGATGCAACTCGCAGAATGCAATTTGTAAATATCTCTACAACTGATTAACCTTTGTAGTCAGTTCATTTCAAGATGTCTGCCACAGCCAGATGACTTTTTTAAAAAGCACATAAACGACTGAGTCCATTTTACCAACACTAAGATGTGTAACTTCAAAGTAACTCTGAAGGATGTGTGGAATTTAGTGCACCAGTGAGCCAGAGGTTTAGCTGTGTTTGCTTTTGTTGTGTGGTGACAGTGACACGCTCAGTGTGCTTTTTCTTTAGTGCAGAAGCAAACTGCACTCAAACACCAGGATGTTCATCTCCACACCTCACTTGAGCTCAGCTGATAGTCGGGTAAAATAAAAATGAAATGTTTGATTTCTCTGGAAACGTCTGGCGAAAATGTTGTGTTTTCAACACACTGAGATTACCACATTACCACATTGAGATTATCACATTAAACTCAAACCATCAATTAGCTCACCAGACAAGTCAGTGCGAGGTATAATGAAAAGATGATGCATTTATTTGAGTGGGAAGTTACTGCCAGAAGCCACTAAAACAGGCACTTATAGGGCAGCAAAAAAGACTTTTATGTGCACGTACAGACGAAAAACTCTAAATTTATTATTATTGTTTTCTTTCTAGAAGCAGTTTTGTGAAAAACAATGATACTTTGTGTGTATTTCAGATTTTAATGTGGCTGATCTGTGCTCTGTGCAAAATGTACGGAACCCGCAAGGGGACACGAGAATTTTTTTTCTTTTGCGTTCCCTCGAAATAACTTTTGCGTTCCCTCGCAAAAGTTGTTTATCACTGGTGTGCCTGCCGGTTTATTAACACATTCACGTGTTCACAATTAGCGAGTTAGCCTACGACTTTAATTCAGCTTCAGAATCACACAACCACGCATGGAAGCATGTCATATGCTGATATTTTAACACAGTGCAGCCACGCAACATCAATGTCAATTTCACAAACTTGTGGTGACACATCCTGTTTTGGTAACGGGATATTTCAAAATAAAAGTCTGATTTAATTCAGTTACAAAACAAACTTTTGCGTGGGAACGCAAAACAATTTTGCGGGGTAACGCAAAAGTATTGCAAATTAATGCAAAAATATTGTGACGTAAAGCAAAAGTATTGTGTGGGAACACAAAAGAAAAAAAAATCCCCCCATGTCCCCCCGCGGGCTCTGTAAAAATGGGAAGAACTGGCAGCAAAATATATTAATTTAAAAGAAAAAAAAAATCTGGTTAGTAAGAAGTGGAGGAACCTTGTTATTGTCTCTCTGTCCATCTTGCTGTGGTTTTCCCACATCGGCCCAGTGACCTCACATCTTCCAGAAGGGAAAACAATTTTGAGTCCATTCTTCTTTTATTTTTTTTCGTAATGATGTTAAAACTATTTCCAGCAGGCTGAAGCCATTATTGGTTCTTTTCCTACCTCTCAGTCAGCTTTACTTCCCACTCAGCTGAATAMAACACCACGAGAAGGTTTCACAGCGTGTCATACTTCCTGCTCAGAAGCTGGAGAAATTCTTTTTCTTCTTTTTTTTTTTTCGCCTCTGCTGTAAACGCTCATCCTTAAGTGTGTCCAGCTTGCCAAAGATTTTAATTTTAGTTTATTTAGTTTTTTTTATCCACAATGTTATATTTACTGGTCCATATTTAGATTTGATTCAGCATCTATAAATACACACATTCCTGCCAAAATCTTGTTGGTGTCACTTCGTCATAAAGATGATGATAGGCTGAAAATTTTTTCCCCCTTTTTTTTGTTCAGCAACGGGAAAAAAAGCAGTGCATATAAAGAATGTTTGAGCTTAGTTAAGAAGAAATACATCAACCTAAAAAAAAWTTTAAACTGCAGTTTGTTCATTTATTCATTTACCATTTTCTTTTTTCTAACTCTGTCTTTGGGGAAATGGTTGTTAAATGACTTAAACAAAACAGCTATCTGACATAAAGCATGTTTGTGCTTATCAAAACATGCCGTACAGCAGAAACCGTGTGAGCTCTGCCAAAGTCTGACTCAACCCTGCCTCTGAGTGCAGTCTGTGTCGACAACAATGGAGCATCACTGATCAATATTGCCATGTAAACAATGGATGACACGGCGACTGCTGATCCAGAAGTTTACAGAGTAAATCACTCAACTGTAGCTATTTAAAAACTCCTCAGCAGTAAAAAGCCAAATTTCAGTCTTTGCACCTACAGTTTCCTCTCCTGGCTTTTATTTTCAGCRACAGCAGGATGGTTTCTAATGTTGTACCATCTGCTAAGCACAAAGCAACATTAGTCACTGACTCTTGGCTGGCTGTGATAAATAGGGAYTTTGTGCCAAAATTGTTCAGATTTACCGAAATTTAGCTGTAGGTAAGAAAAATAAGAGTTAATTCATTGTTCAAATTGTTTGTTTTGTTATTATGCTCATAATAAACTGGATCATCATAGTTGTGTACTTTTTTCACAAGCTGAACAGTTTGGAATTTTTTAAAACTAAATTTAGAGAAAGTTGTTTCTAAGTCAGGGGCAAATCGTCAACACAGACTGAACTCTTTAAAGGGGCAATTTTATGTGTTTCTCAGGCGTATATTTAAATACTACAACATAATAAAGTGTCACCTGTTAATAAAATGTCACCTTTAGCTCTTATTAAAATGCTGTTTTCATGTTTAAAGGGGCAATATTATGTATTTCTCAGACATACATTTAAATTCTACAACATAATAAAGTGTCACCTGTTAATAAAATGTCACCTTTAGCTCTTATTAAAATGCTGTTTTCATGTTTAAAGGGGCAATATTATGTATTTCTCAGACATACATTTAAATTCTACAACATAATAAAGTGTCACCTGTCAATAAAATGTCACCTTTAGCTCTTATTAAAATGCTGTTTTCATGTTTAAAGGGG